ACCAGCAGTAGCCGCACCACCTGCACACGCCCCAAATGCACAGCCAGAAAGTGCGCCGACTGCACCCAGCCCAGCGCCCGTCCAGGCTCCGCAACAGGCAGCGCACATGCCGACTGCTGCGCCCGAGCAACCAGCAGCAGAAGCTCTTGTACACGCACAGCCAGCAGGCATGCCCACGCAACCAGCAGCCACGCCGGTTGGGCCCGGTACCACGCCATGCGTTTTGCCAGATGGGCGGACAGTGGTGCCAAGGCCGCACACAATGTTTTTTCACCACCGTCTTGGCTTGCAAGTGTCAGCCCCAGAGGCCTCTCCCCAGCATACAATGCCAGAAGCGCGGTCCCAGGCCGCAGCTCCAGCCCAGCCAGTTCCAAGCCAGCCAGCAGGGTTCACAGCCGCGCCAGCTGTACGGTATGTTGAAGCAGACCTTCCCACCATGCATGAGCTTGGTGCCGGTGTCGTTCCAACTCCGCACACCATGTTCTTCCCCCCGGTTCTGACACAAGTGCCAGCCCAGCCCATGGCTCCAGCCCAGCCAACAGCTCCAGCGCAGCCGACAACTCCAGCTCAGTGCGTGGCGCCCACCATTGATCTCGACCTCGAGGATTCGCAGCCATGGGAAGCTTCCCAGGAGATGACAGAAACTCAGCATCAGCTACTTTCCAATGCTTCAATCTACGCACACGCCAATTCTTTCACTGATGCTTCCATGGAAAGGTTTGTTGCCGCATCGGTGTGGACCCCAGATGCGTCAGCAGCAACAGCAGCCCAAGGCGCAGGCATTGCACAGACCGGGAATGGGATCCCGCAACGTGCTCTACCTGCAGACTTCCACAGGGCCAACACCCTTGATCGTGGAATGGACGCTCTGACCGCCCAAAACCTAGCTGTGGCTCCGGAGTCGCAAGCCGGACACGCAGCGCGAGAAGCTGCCAAAAGGAAGCGAGCCAAGGATGACCCAGAAGCTTTGCCATTTGTATCAGAGCGGGAGAAAAGCCAATACGATGCTTACTGGAACAAGTTCCGTCGCGGAAACCCCTTGTCTTCATCTTCAACGACAGCCGGCTCGCCAACTCAGAGCCTTTCCGGTCAAGAGTCTGCAGGGGCCATGCAGCGCCAGGGGAGCAGTAGCGACTGCTTTTCCTGTCCTCCGACTCCATCATCTTCCGCTGCATCTTCTTCACTGCTTCAGACTATGCAACAGTTAGGTTTCACGACTCTGCTCTCAGATTCTGACGCCCGGAAAGTCTTGGAAGAGTTGATCGGCAACAAGAAGGAATCGCCTTCGCATGAGCAGCCCGTTGTGCTTCCAGAGACAAAGCTGTCCCGGCGTGGCACTATTTACAGCCCTGAAGGCGATCTGCAGGCCATGCAGTTGCCTGATTGGCCCCTCATTCACCGTGAAGGAGACAAGTCCGCCTTGGTCGACAAGGCTCTTGCTTGTGGCCACCCTGTGATCACCGTCCCACGCACCGCCACCGCAGCAGACATTCCAGCAGAACTGTTGCAGAGTACGCCAACCCAACAGGCAGAACCTTCAGCCATGCAGCCCACCCCACAGCAGCAGCAGCAGCACTCAACAACCGCAAAAGTGGAAACTCCACTTGCACCGCAGCCAGAGGCGATTCCAGCAGTAAACATTCCAGTGCCCATGGAAGTGGAAGTTCCAGCAGCAACTGCTCCGCAGGCTTCACCAGCGCAGCCATGTCCGCTTGCTCCAGCACAGTGCCCTGCAGAGGCGATTCCAGTGGTAAACATTCCAGTGCCCATGGAAGTGGAGGTTCTAGCGCCAACTGCTCTGCAGGCTTCACCAGCACAACCATGTCTGCCTGCTCCAGCGCACCAGGCTTTGCCGACTCCAGCAGGTCAAGCACCAACTGCTCCACAGACTTTGCCAGCGCAGGCCGCAGGTCTGCCTGCTCCGCCAGCTCGACCAGAGCCTGTTCAACCAACGCCTCCCGCGGCACCAGCGCATCCACAGCTTGAGTTGGGCGACAAATGCAACAGCAGCACACATCCAGCTGAATTTGCCGCCTTCAAGCGTTTTTGCCAATCGAACCCTGGGGCAAAAGAAGTGTGTGATGCCTTCAAGAAAGGTGGAGAGGCCCGTATGGCAGCTTTCCGAAAGTTTGTCATGGCCAATGGAAAAGGAATGGCCGTTGAAGCGGTCATGAAGTTCCAGCGTCAGAGTGAACAAACCGACAAGGATGGTGGCGAATACCTCACCTGGCTTGAGGTTTTGGGTTTCTTCAACAAAGACGCCGAGCAGGCCACCCGGTTTTGCAACCAACGCAGAGGGCAGCCATCCGGGACTGCCTTCCAGTGCAGACTACTGTTTTTTTGCACGTTTGTTTTTCAAACCACATATGTTGTTGGGGCTGGTGTTGCGCTGCAGGACCAGCACTTGTCGGAACACCGGCGAGGAAACCTTCCTTGTGTTCGGACGGCAGCAGAAGTCTTGGGTGACCAAGAAGATTGTGAAGGGGCTGCACTAAGTTCTTTTTTGGTGGCAACGCCGATGCCTTTTTGATGTGTTTAGTTTTCCCTTGGTGCCTTACTTGAGGACACCATCGCGATCGAGCTTGGCGTGGAACCTACCACCGCCATCGATTTGATGTCCATGCTCGAGCAGCATAACAACCCAATGCTTGCATCAGCTCCGGCTCGCCAGGCTTTGCCAAGTCCTCGTGAAGAGCCAGGTACGGCCGGCCACGCTGCCAATGGGGAGCAGAAGGATGAAGAGAGGAAGGGAAAGGACAAGAACAAAGCCAAGAAACCGAAGGTCCATGTCAAGGTCAGGTCTAGTTTGTCCAAGTCTTTTTCTTCCGACGTTGCTTGCTAAATTGTTGCCCCTTGAAAGTCTGTGCCTGCAGGGGTCGGCCCTCGAGTGCGAGATCCTCATGGAGGACAATCTTCCTTCGTTTGTTGGAGCTTGGGTTGCCAAAGCGGCCGACTCAGAAGGTCAGGCGGCCACGATCTCCGCTCAGTGCTTTGGTCATGATTGGTTGGTCTGGTACCAATTGGATGTGTTCATAATAGTAGCTTAAGTAGCTTATTTGCGCTGCAAAGCCTGCGTCCCAGGCTTGAAGCATTCGAGTCTCAAGAGCAGCTTGCCAGCTTGATCAAATCCAGTGGCGATGGATTAGGCAAGTGCAGAAAGGATATGGTGGCCTTGGACCCGTCGAACTTGACAGTCGAGGGTGTGAGCGAAGTTCTCCAAAGGGTCGCTGGCCTGAACGACTGTTTGTGTGTGAATTGATATGTGGGTTCACGTGTTGCTGCAAGCCTTCCGCTGAGGCCAGAACCTTTGTTGAGGCCTTCAAGAAGCACACTAAGACCGCCAACCAGTTGAATCTTGGGCTGGGCTTGTGTTTGCTTTGTTTGCAATGGTTCATGTGTATTCCTGTGACCGTCGGCCATTTGTGCGATCAGGATTGCAGCGGCGAAGCGGCAATCGGCCCCTAAGAAGGCCAAGGCGAAAGCAAAGGCCAAGGCCGACGATGAGTGAGTGCAGCCAGCTTCAATTGGCTGATTCCAGTTTTGGTTAGAACACCTTGAACAAAAGGTGGTTGATCTCAGTGAATCTCGTTTGGGTTTTGTTCGGAACACCTGCAAAAGGTGAAGAACTCTTTCTTGGGTATGAGGCCAGCTTGCGCGCAAAGCGTTTTTAGATATCGCACTGAACAACTTAATGTTCATGGCTAGCTACATCGTATGTATGTGTGTGTATGTATATGTATATATATAGATATGTATGTATGTATGTATGTATGTATGCGTGTGTATGTACACGCGGGCGCTCAGTCGCGCAAGCTGCCACACGGATTGCCCCGCAATCACGGTCGCTCACAAACATAGGTGCCCACTATATTCAGCCGCCAAGTGTCCAAAATGTGGAGCGTGCCACATGTCGAAGCCCTAGGCCAGCTTTCCACGCACAAAGTTCTCCACCGTCGAACAGTTTCGTATCCTCACCGCAGTTTTTTGGCTATGGCTCGATGCGATGAAGCGTCTGGTCAAAACGCTTCAAAAAAAGAAGTCTGGAACATCGTTGGGTTCTTCTGCAGGTGCTAAGTTCAGCCTACAATCTCCTATAGCCCGTGTTGTTGCGGGCCAAATCGGGAAAGGTAGCCCAGCATACCTTCTGCAAACATTTGCAGACGCAGCTGTGAAGGAAGCAGGTGTACAGAATGTTAGCGCTAGCATCTCGGCTCTTTTGGACTGGTCTGTCCTTGAAGTGCAGTGCAGCTTGAAAGCACTTGTTTTTGCCACCGTCGATCCTTAGCCGCAAACAAGGCACCCGATGGGCCGCGAAGATCGGAAAGGGGAAACGGTTGGATCGCGCTGAAAGGGATCTGCACACGGCTTTGTCTCGATCGAATGATGTGACTTGCTCCAAGCGTGGTTTAGTTTTTCAGCCGTGTGCAAAGCATAGTTGAACACCCGGCAACTATTGGCCTGCTCACGTTTCTTATTTTAGAAAATATTCGATAGATCATTCAACCCCGACTACTCCCAGATCGGCTCAGGCGATCATTCGTTGCCCCTTCAGCTATGTGACAGTCCCCATCATTGATCAGAACCAGTTGCGGAAGGTCAAGAAGAAACCACAAAAGGGCAAGGGAAGGGGGAAAGGAAAAGGGAAATGGTTGGGTGGCTCTGTAAAGGGGAAAAAACCCAAGAAGCAGGGGGCAGCTTGTCCGACCATTGTATACAAACAATGGCCTTTCTACGCCCCCCACAATATGTTGGAAGCAATAGTTGCTGCTGGCGCTGACCATTTGTTGAAGCTCGAATGGAAACGTTGCTGTTTTTTCTTTCACGTGTCTCTTTGCATGGTTAGGGCCTCAAGACTCAAGACTTTTTGTCCTTTCGAATTGATCTTAGGAAAGGTGACTTGAATTGGATAGATTTCTGGGAGCGAATGAAATCAGAACCGTGGGGCAAGCGCTTGGGCCGCACTCGCTACAGGTCACCCTTTCACCCCAGGTGTCATCGCTTCAAAATTGGCAAGCGTCGGCTAGGTCGCACCCTGTTCATCAATGGGATGCTGAGCAGCGAGCAAACGCCATCGGCGTGTCATTTCATGGCGACGAGGGCCAAGGTAAGAAGAACAAAAGCATGCTCATCATGTCTTGGTCTTCGATGGGAGTTACGGGTAGATCGAGTCACTGCAAGTTCCCGTTTGCTGCCTCTAGGCCAAACTATGTTTGGAATTTCACGAAACGAAGGTAGGCAAACGCAACCAACAAGTCATAACTTAGGCTATCAGATCATGTTTCTATGCCTTTGATGGTACAAAGAATTTGACTCTGGAAGCGTTCCAGGGAGCGTTGGTGAGGACATAGAAGTCTTCCAAATATGGCTGTTCATGAATTCAAACCTTGCTATACTCGCTACTCTTTTCATCTGTTCATGCAACGTTCTGCCTGATAACACGGCAGGAGTTTGAACCAAGCCGCATCCCAGAGTACTCCTGGCCTCAAGCTCATCTATGTATGTGGCAAGGGTGATTGGAAGTGGAAACGGGAGTGGCTTCAAGAGCCTAGACACTATGGTTTGAACAAGAGTGGGGCTTCTGGCATGATTTGCCGTAGGTGCCTATGTGGCAGTACACCCCAAAAACCTTGGGTGGATTTGAGCGAAAGGTTCAACACAACGGAAGATTTGGAAAGTGCGTCCCAAACTTGTTTCTTGGCCGGAGTTAGGCGTGAACTTTCACTTTCAAGGGTGTTTGAGAGAGATTGTTCGACAATGCTTGAAAATAGAAATGCTCGATGTGAGGTACTGGTCCGATAGCATTCCACCAGCTCTATGGGTGGTCACCGTCGATGGAGTGTCCTGATCTGCTGCACAGTCTATGGCTGGGCATTGGTCGGGACGCATCAGGTTCTTTGATTTGTGACCTTGCAGAATTTGCCCCGTGGGTCGCACATCTAGAGACGTGGGACGATCGTTTGCAGTGGCTGGCAGTGGACGCTAGAGAGTGGTGCCGTCGAAACAAACTGTCTCCATCAAGTATTGACGATTGGAGTGCCAAGGCTGATCAAACAAACGCTGAACTTGGAACGGTTTTTCAAGTGATTTCATCATAGCATTCGATTCGCCATCTGCATTGTTCAGCCTAGAACCGATGACCCAGGCCTTACAAAGCTTGGTGTGGATGCTGTGAGTATGGATTACCCCCATGGACCCTCACATGGATTTTCGAACAGGATCATGCCACTCGCCAATACAAATGAGGTCTTAATTGTATGATGCAATGTGCATGGATATCGTCAATGTTTTTTTCTGGGTTCGCCGGGGGTTGTCAGGGTTGCATACCTCGCCAGCCGGCTAAAAGAAACCTGACTGCACGCGCGCGCAGGTTGCGTAAGCTGGTTTCAAAAGGAAAATGAACGCTGTCAAATGCAAATGCACAACATCAATCGATTCCAAAGGCAAGATTTTTGTTTGTATACATCATCGCATCGCGATATTTCTCGTGGTGCGCTCAGGATTGCGTCGACGCAGGTTGCAGTGAGTTGACACACCAGGCAGTCTTGGCGTGGTCGCTGCATTCATTTGGAAGGGCGCTAGACCATGCCTCTATGTTTCTCACAGACGCCGAAACGGCGCGGATCGTTGACCTTGGCTTCCTCTTTTTACAGTGCTTCGTCTTTTTGGCGGACAGAGCTCTAAAGGATCTCAGGCCACGTTGGAAGGGGCGACCAAAACTGCACAGCTTTCATTGCGAGACGCTATGTCGTTTAAAATCTGGTTCCCGTCTCAATCCCAGATTTTACTCTTGTTGGTTGGATGAGGATTTCGTGGGAAGGACATGTTCCATGGGAAAGCGTGCAGTGCATACCCAGACACTCGCAAAGCGTGTGCTCCAACGGTGTTTGCTCCAAATAAACGTTCACTTGCAAGAGAAGCAAGAGAAGTGAAAATGTGGAGGCCGCAATTCGCATCATGTGAGACCTCTAGTGTGTAAGAGCGCTTGTGAGTTCCACCCTAAACCTGGTCAGTGCAGGGGTCACGTTGTTTGTTTCTCTTTTGCTGTGCACGCGATTGGTGTATCAAAGGGACACACGCACACAAGTAGATCAAACGAAAACAAGGGCTTTAAACATTTGACAAATATTCAAAAACACTACAGCAAAGGGTCCGTAATTTAAAACGATGAAGTTTCAAACATACAAACTATAGGAATACTGGCTCAAGGCGACACATATGTGCTCAAGTCACGTGCTGCGCAGCAAATTTCTGATACGCTTGTCATACACCTCTGGCTTGAAACGCATGGTCCAAACATGCGAATGGCGACAGATTGGCATTGTACAAAATTAGACGCGCTCCAGGAGTCTGGTGGCCCAATGACCAAAAAAAAGTGCACATTGTGCAGTTTTTTCCTTTGTCTGTGTCTCCTGGGACCACCATGCCATGGAGAACACACTCCTGCGATGCCGGGACGAGGCTCGAACACGGGCAGCAACGCCCATGCAACATGGGTGGGATGCTCGGAGTGTGGGATTCGCCTGAGCTACACGCCGGCCTTCGGCGCACACGGCCTGACTCGACAAGCAGGACCACTTGCTGCCGACACGACGACCCAGTTGGTGGAGAAGAAGCCGGACAAGGGCAGCATCGAGTTGAAGGACAAGAAGATTGGCTTAGATGCAGCCGAAAGATCCCTGGAGAAACGCATGGAGACCATCCGCAAGCAAAAGGAGCAATGGCTGTCAACCCAGCAGCGCAAGGACAAGTTTGCGGCCGAGACAACCAAGGTCTCCCCAGGGAAGTCTTCGCAGGGCCAAAGCCCGGATCGCCCTATGACGCCTTCACCACCTACGGCAGGGTATGCTCAGGACCACACCATGGCCCTCACCGGCAGCAAGAAGAGTGCGAGGCTACCGGAGATCTCCAAGTTTTGCATGCGCTATGAATAGTTTTCATCATCTACCGCACCAACAGAGCCTGCCATGAAGGACCCCAACATGCCGAAGATCAAGTCCAAGGAGACGATGGACGAGTACTACCTGGGGATCCCAATGGGCAACAGTTTCACCAACTCTGGCATTTTGCCAACTCAAGGCATTTTGCCTGATGCTTCAGCCTGCAGCAAGAAGCGGAAGAAGAAAGGTCAGCAGCCCCACTCCTCTGATAGTGACGACACCGGCCAAGGCCGAAGGCTGACTGAAGACGACACCGCCTTCCTGCTCTCCCTGGCTGAAGAGTATGAACAAGGATGTGAGGACATCATGATGAGCCTGATGGCGGATCAGGTCAAGAAGCCTCCAAAGATCATGGAACTCTGCTGTGAAGAGGACAGTGGACTCACCACTGCATTGGAAGCTCAAGGAGGCCTTGGAATTCGTTGCGGTCTCTTCAACGACTGCGACCTCAACAAGAAGTCTGGCTTCAACAAGGTGATCCAGCTCCTGAAGACCTATAAACCCGACGTACTATGGGTATCGCTACCTTGTGGGCCCACTTCAGGCATCCAAGAGCTCAACAAGTTGACCG